TAAAGGTTTATAAGTACGATTAGGAAAATATACTCAAAAGTATAACACCTAATTGCAATTTCACAAGAGGCTGGAACTGTGAAATATTTTTGAACAAAAACATCTTAAGTCAATTATTGTTCTGTTACCCAACTCATGGTTTTAGTAATTTGAATATAACGTTTGATGGTTTAATCTTTACCAAATACACATATTTAAAATAGTATTTCCTAAGTATTGTGTGTCAAAATCAGATGTTGTAAAAAGAAACTAGTAAATAAATCTGTCAAATAAATGTATAGGAGAAAAGAGTACAACATTTGCTTCCAAAGAAAAATAAACTAGTAGAAAAATGAAAATACTCATTCAAAACTAAAGTACAAGTACCTCAAATGTGTACATAAGTAACAATACTTGAGTACTTAGTTACTGTGCACCTCTGTCGAAATATAACAATGCTGAATACAGGAAGAATTGCAGGGTATATTGACAGTGTTCACTCTCTGTATGAAACATTTAGAGAAGTACTTTAATACACATTTCCTTAAACTGCAGTTTGTTGACACCGGCTGAAAATGTTTAGCTAACGTTGGCTAACAGTGAAACGGACGGCAAATTGTTAATTAAAAGCGTCTTAAACTGTAAATAACTGGATCAGGTTGAGGTCGGACTGAGTGGTTTCACTTACCGGAGATTTGGAGACAGTTATACATTCATTTACGTTCAGTTTTTTACTACTGTAAATTACATCAAAGCAGAGCAGTGATGGCTCCTTCACTGTCACAACATTCCCAGGAGTTTCTAAAACTTTATCACACCCACAAAACACATCTGCACACAGGAGGCGTTCGAGAGCTCCTTAAAAAGCTCAGAAATCTTAGCCTCCGTATCTGAAGTCACATCCGATTTAACCTAATTTACTTTTTTCTCACATTAGTTCTGTTTTGTTTGTCTTCTTAAGCGTTGAAAAGTCATCCTGAAATTGCACAGAAGGTGTTTTTAAGGAATTGTATTGATGAAATGCATGAAGTGCATTTCATTGCATTGAGCTATCATTTCATATATTTTATATATTCTTTCTAATTGTACAGCGTGTGTTGTATTGTTATTGCTCCATGTGCCTCTGAAAATAGCTCCCATGGGACAAATAAAGTAGGTTGCATTGCGTTTAATACTGGTCAATGTACTCATCAAACTAACTTAGCAAAAAAAAGGTATCTGTCTAGTATCAGTGACAACAAATATCACATTTGCTTTGCTATTAATTCAGTTTGAATAACCAGCCCTAGTGTCAACATCCTGATGTTCATAGACATATGTTAAATTACAGAAGCATAGCACTAGGGAAAAGCATTTGTAATTTGACTTGAAGAAAACGTGGGCAAAAAATAAAAATATGCATTCCTGTGGCACAGAAGCATGCATTATTATTTATTTATGAAAAAAAGATAATATGCACATCATTGTCAGCGTCACTGGTTGATGCAGTTTCAATCCTCTCCACCTTGAACTCATCATGTCCACTGCACAATACCATCTTGTGTTGTCATGTTTCTCAACGGTAGTCATCGCCACATGAAGTAATCCAAATATTTCTGACGCCACCCAAAGGCAACAATTCTAACAGGTCGAACAAAGCATCTTAAACAAACCCAAACACGCCCTGAGAGCTTCTTGTTCCACAAAACCTCACTGAAATCACCTGTTGGATAATAAGCCGGCTTCCTGCCACACATATCATTCACACAATGTCCATCTGATACTTGTTTAAAACATAAAAGGCAGCATTTAATGACCTACATCTCACCTGTTATTGCAGTGGGAGAAGATGCGAGGTAAGAAACCTTTGTGTTGCTTCTGGCTTTGTGAGGGCAGTCGACTCACCTGGGAGTGGGCGTGGCCTGTTTGAGTCTACCCGTGGGAGTGGGTGTGGCCTGTTTGAGTCTACCTGTGTCAGTGGAAATGGAAGAAACGCGTTGCTGTGACTCATCGGTTTCACAGGTGTCAACAACACGTGAAACTAAAACCCAAGCGTGATGCGACCTGCTGCTCCAAAAATAGAAATGCAGACATCGTCTTGTCAGGACAACGAACACTGACACAAAATAAAAATGAGTTTGACAATATTTTACATGTCGATATTATTTTTAATTAACAGATTATTTTTTTAACATATCCATCTGTCTTTATATTTGGATTTCATTGCTTGGTTTGATACGCATGGTCAGATGGGAAACTTCATTAACGTGTTTGTCTTCTCTAGGTCGTGCAATTTAACTGTATTGACCACCAGGTGAAATCCAATTAAGATGTAGAAACTTCCAAAAATTATCAGGAGAAAGAGGAAGGCACTTGATGTCAATGTGATTTTTAAGATTTTCTTTTTTATTAATTAAAATTGCAAAACAATTATAATCTTGTTTTACCTCTTATTGGTACATTTGGGGCATAGTCCAGATTCATCTGGTAACGTTTGAGATATTGTTTTTTTTGTGATCTATTTGGCTTTTAAAAATCTATAACACCCTTGTCCAGTTATAGACATAGAACAAGCTTAAATTATTTAAAAAAAAATTGTAATAAATAAAAATACACAACAAATCATTTCAATCAATTCGATAAGAAAAAGATGATAGGAGGGAAATATAATGTCAGCATACGGGTTGTGAAATAAATCAATGTGAGTATAGCAGTATACTACGACTACAGCGTTGCGCTTATTATTTTCTGATTGCTTATCAATGACAATCACATTAGGGTGTACAAGAACGTTGTAGTGATAGCCAACTTAAAACTGTTCAATTCAAAGAGCAACTTTAAACACAAATTAAGATTTTATTCAGACCTAAACTGGTTTATCACCTCGTCCTGCTGCAGTGTAGCGTGTCCTTCAGGGTGGGGTCAGCACCTGTGATGTCACTGTTGGGTGTAGCAATGAGTGTAAGCAGGGCGAGGTTTCCGCTATATTTCGATTAACAAAACGGCATGTGTTGCTTCTGTCGCCTTGAATCGACTGATCTATGTGGCTAAATAAATCTTACCCCAGTCTAATAACTGTTTGTTCAATGTCGCTAAGAAATTCTTAATATTGCCACAAATGTAAAGGGTGACAGAAACTCAGACATTTTCAGCTAGCAGACCTCCTTCAATACAATTTATGGAAATGAAAAGTAAACATTGCTCCAGGACACTTAGACAAACACATTTATCTTGGTTTTAAGTTAACTGAGCAAATAAGAAATGCAGCAAGTGCACAGCAGCAGAAGAGGAAAAACGAAGTGTTTGCTTGCTGACACACAGACAAAGAAACAGATTGACCAAAAACATATTTATCTGACCTTTATTTGTCAATTTAAAAGTATTACAGATTCTACAATATATTGCACATGTACAGGTAGTATCGAATGAACGGCACCCAGAAAATAAATATTAAGTTCATTAAACAGACCACAGGACTGACATCAGCAGAGCTAACAGTATGAACCACATAATGGAGCGTGACTTTGAAATAATTTAAAAAGATTAATGTAATAAAAGGAAATGGCAAACAGTTATTTTCAGAAGAGGTTGACACAGTCGTCATTCCAGTTGTAAGAGATCATTTTCCAAACCATTAAATATGGCTGAAGACAACGGTTAAACCTGCAGGACTGTTAAAAAACAAAGAACACCATGATAGAAGTTCTCCTCAGATTTTATGTGTTTATGTTCCCATTATTTTGCACCAGTGGTCAAGTGGGTACTAAGTTAAGATTTACACTTCAATCAAATAAAACAGGTTGCTCCACAACAACTGATTCGCATGAACAGATTAGTCACTGTTAAAATATTTACAGTCACTGACAGGTATAAGTGAGGCCAAGCTAACAGAACAAAAGCTAACGTTAGCCTGCTTTCATTGTGACTAGTTTAGACTCAGGAGATTTGGCAATAATATACAAAATGGGTGACATTCGTTACAAAAAAGAGCCGAAGGACTAAAGGACCAAGTGGCGTTGGCTAGGTTACCATAATCCGATATTTCCCATTCATCCTAGACTGGATAAATATGAATAATTCTAAAAACACATAATTCTCCATTTATGCCCTGCTTGAATATAAAAAATAAAACATATTAAATTGCATTTAAGAAAAGTATTGGCAGCTAAGTTTGATTGACATGTGACTTCCTAAAAACATATTTGTTTAAGGTTTGCTACAGCTAGGTTAACGAGGTTCATTTTGTTGTTTTATTAGCTCTTGTGAAAAAAACGTCTGATGCAAAGCTTATTGCCCCATTCTTTAAAATGAGACAAAAGTCATCAATACGTTAAAACATCCCACATTAGATCCAGAGCTTAAAGCGGGGGATGAGGGGTTTCGTTGCAGCCCTGACACCAAAACACAACATAGACATAGAAATACACTATAATGCAATGGAGTAATAGTCTATTTCTAAGGCAATTTAAACATAATAATTAAGGAACCCGTAAGAGTATAAGCAAAGTCTACACCTGATCAGTGAGCGTTTCTAAAAGAATCAACACACTTTAATGGAACTCTAACAATCACTTTAAAGGCAAACTTATAAAGTCTCTAAAAAATACTTTGTACCTATTTCTTTAAAAATCTAAAACTGTACTATCCAAATTCATGATTTAG